AGAAATATGTTTTCATAGCAGAAATAAGATTCCTTCTTTGACGGAATAAATAAAATATTAGACATAAATGGGAATACTCGGTTCGAGTCTTAGCATTGACATAAAATTTGTATTGTTAAAAAAAAGAGTGCGCGTAAAGTTCACAAAGTTGAGGTAAAACTTATTTGCTACTGTACAAGATGGCATTTAAGTAAAAAGAAATACATCATATAACCATTTTGAATAATGTTTATTAGTAATATGGTAACACTCGTGATGCACACATATCAGTGTCAACCATTATACACATTTATATAATGATAAATTATAAATTATATATTTATAATAGCATTAAAAATATGTATAATATTTAAAAACACTAATGTAATTAAAGTCATACTTCAAATATGACATGATCGGTTTGTCATTGTAATCAGCATTTAGAAATAAACCTTCATTAGAGAAATGATGTAATTGCTGATTAATAAATTCTATAATATTCGTACACAGAGTGGATTATGTTAAACAACGCTTAAACAAATATCGTTTTCGCAACTTCACTCATCATGTAATTGTGTTTGAAGAACTTCATGTAATTAAAATTAACATATATTCATTGACTGCTTGTATTTTTTTACTTTTTCGCTAGAGATATAATCTCATTCTTTGAACAGCTGTAATGTCTGTCTTGCCTAAAAAATATTTTCCATTTTAATAACTTCAAAGATTTATAGAAACTACGAATAATATAGAAATAATTTCTAAGGAACAGGGTAAAATATTCTTCTGATGCAGGCATTTTTCATTAAATCAAGACTACGATGTAACTTTAAAATGTACGCATACAACGTTGATTCACATACACGACGACTAATCACAATCGACCCGTTTAGAAATGATATCATCGAGAGCGAATGACGAATCATTGGCACTCGACTCGGCCGTAACACAACTTCCGTTGCATTTGTCCGGATTTTCACCCAAGTCGCGCCTAAAGAAGTTTTATTCAAAAATCAAATAATACAGATTGACTTGTAACCTCGAGAAAAACCAATTAACAAGTCAATTTTTTTGCAGAAAACACAAACATCTCCTTCAGAAAGTTATGTTTTTAGAGTGTAATTCTTTACACTTGGATATGAAAAGAAATATTTCATTAATTTTATGGTTTGCAAAATCATTAAAATATCAATTACATAGAATTGCCTTCTAGCAAACAATTTTATAATATAAAACGATACTAAAGTTCTACCGTTTCATCGTTAAATATAAAACGTTCTATTTAATTACACCATAAATCGAAGATTTCAATCAATTTTAATTTTTAATAAACATGTTAATTTAGTAATTCTCAAAAATGTATTAAATATTCGGAACAACCTCTTGCGTGTAAGTTGTTCGTCATCAAAGAACAAAGAATTCTTGGTAAAATGACGTCAAAGAGAAATGTGGAATGTCACATTTAAAAATCTGATATTCGCCAATAAAGAAATAAAAAATAATGAAGTTGGGATGATATTATATTGGATTTTCATATGTCCTCCTGCTATAAATCATAATTTAGCTCATGTTGCACAATAAAATTTGCTGACTACTATAAATTAAATAACGTTATTCATTCAAAAGAAAACAAATCATAAAAGCCTAAATAAATATATCATAAAAACTGTATCGCATGTATAAACAATAACTCAAATATTTGATTTTGTTTTATGTTCTTGATTTAGTGATAAGACTTTATTAGTTCATGTAATTATTATAAACGGTACTTATGAATAACGTAAACATAACTATACAATCGTGATAATTGATCATGTAAATAATTATCTATAATCATAATCAAATATAAGAAATGAAATAGAGTTTTATAATTGAGATATAGATATAGTTTTGAATAAAATTGATCTATCCCAAATTCCAGTTTTGTATCTTTTAAATCGATCAGGGCTAATTTTCCTTCGGTCCTTATTTATTACAAATGTATAGGGTTAATGGCTACATAAATTTTGACAAAATATATTTTTATAAAAATTAATGGCTAAACAGCAACGCAGATGCAAAAAAGTTGTGTGTAACATTTTAAAATTCGTTTTCGAAACGATTTCACATTTCTTACGTGATAAAAATATATGAGAAGAGATTAAGGGGAGCATTAAAATGTAATAAATTTTATGGATTATATATATATATATATATATATATAAATATATATATATATATATATATGTATATAAATATATATATACTGAGCCTAGGAAAAAACTAACAAAGTGCTTCAGTTAACTTTGCTCCCTGCGGATCAGAGGTATGAACTCCAAAGCAGATCGAAAAAAACTAACTGGAAGGTTTTGATAAGATACAAAATATTAAGTAGACTATCGAGGTAACAAACTAGCTGTAAGTGGAATTCTGTCTTAAGGCAATTAGGGCATCGTGCCTTAAGGCAAATTGCTGGAACTTCCCGTACCAAAAATTATTATTTTTTCAAAAACGAATAACATTTTTGAAAAAAATTTACTTCGAAAAAAATAGATTTTTGAGAAACTATAAATTTGACAAAAAATTACTTTTTTTTAAAAAAAAAATTTTTATTTGAAAAAAAAAAATTTTTTTTTTGAGAAAAAAAAATTTTTTTTAAAACAATAAAATTTTTTGAAAAAAAATGTTTTCTTCATTTTGACATATTTTGGAAATTCTGAACTTTTTTTCAAAGCAATCGCACTGCTTGAACTGCATAGAGACGAAATGTCAAAGCTCGCAAGTGCCGCGCCGCCATCTAACGCATAAGCATTGGTACGGAACCCATAGAAATGTAAAAAAAATTATAAATTTTTGTTAAAATCTCTATAAAATATCTGATAATTTGATGTGCATATGTCTAATGATCATTTTTAACCGCCGAATGGCATTTTTTTTTACTTTTTTCATTAGATCTCCGAAACCGCTAGACCTGCCTTCATGAAAATTTGATCAAATCTACATCTTGTCAATACAAGTAAAATATTTTTGAATTATTCAAATCGGACGCTCCGTTCTCTCAAAAACTGAGCTACCGTTTTCGGCACTTTTTGCCCCCGTATCTTTGGAACGGCTAGACCTGCCTTCGCCAAAAACTAATCAGCACGTCTCCTTATCAATACGAATCGAATGTTTTTTGAATTATTCAAATCGGTTGACCCGTGTTCCCGAAATCGTCGACGAAAATTTGTATCCGCACATACATACACACACATACATACATACATACACACACACACACACATACATCCATTTTTTCTAAGGTATGCCAAAATGTTCAGAAACCTCTGAAACGTAAAGATATATAAAAATTTTCATATTCGATTTTTTTGCGATTACTATAACTTGCCCTACGGGAAGTTAATAAAGAACTACATACTGTGAATGATACAGTTAGCCATTCTCTCTGCAGATCAGAAACATGAACTCTAAACGCAGATCGACAAAAATACTTGAAAAATTTCTAGATGTGGTACTGGAGAAGGTTAGATAATACAAAATACAACTACAAGGTAAAAAGTAAAGGAGTACATTCTGTAAATGCTACAGTTAACCATTCTCTCTGTAGATCAGAGGCATGGACTCTAATCTAAGGCAGACAGACAAAAAATACTTGAAAAGTTTCGAAATTTGATGCTGGCAAAAGTAGAGAAGACAGAATAGATCTAGAAGGTAACAAACAAAGAAGTACATACTGTAAATGCTACAGTTAGCAATTCTCCCTTTGGTAGATCAGAGACATGGACTCTGAAACAGACAGAGCAAAAAATACTTGAAAAATTTCAAAATTTGGTGCTGGAAAAAAATAGAGAAGGCAAAATAGACCTACAAGGTAAGAAATGAAGAAATGCATACTGCAAATGCTACAATTAGCAATTATTCCTGCAGATCAGAGGTATGGATTCTAAGGGAGGCTGACAAAAAATTCCTGGAAAGATTTGAGATGAGGTACTGGAGAAGATACAAAAAAGACTTACAAGGTAACGAATGAAGAAATGCATATTGTGAAGGATACAATTAGCAATTTTTCCAGTAGATCAGAACCATGGACTCTAAGGCAGATCGACAAAAATACCTGGAGATATAACTGAAAAAAATTAGAGAATACAAAACAGACCCACAAAGAAACTTTAATAAGTGATACGAATGAAACAGCAATCTCCCTGCAGATCAAAGGCATGGACTCTAAGACTGACCTATCTTAAAAAAAAAAAATCTTTAGAATATTGAAACGTGGTGTTGGAAAAGATTAGAGTCTACAAAATAATCCTATAAGATAACAAATAAATAAGTACATACTGTGCATAGTTTTGACAAGAAAAGTAAACTGGATCAGATCCATATTGAGAAAAAAGTGCCTTTCGCACTTGCATTAAAGGTGAAATGAAAATAGAAGTTTGAAGGCTATATGCACTAAATATTATGCATTATGCAAGATAAAGGGGTAAAATGTGGGCATATATATAATAAATATTTTTGTCATTTTTTTATATAGAACTATAAATTTTGTTAGTAATAATTTATAATAATAAAATTGAGCACAATAACAAAATTAAAGGTTATCGCATTTTATTACTAAGCATATATGTACTTATCATACAATAAATAATTGTATATGTAACACATGTTTATTACTTAATACTGAAAACCGATTTTATTTCTCATTTCAATAATGAATCGCTAAATACCAATTTCCAAACATGTAAGGTTGCTACTTATAGGTTACATAGAACTTTGAGTATTACATAAACCTCCCCCTCACTCATATTTCTACAACGGATATATTATTCTCAAAAAAACGTATATTTTAAACAGTAAAAACAAATAGATTTGAATTTATTTAAAACTGAATCATACGTAAAAAGTAAATAAAGGCGATAGATATATATATAATTTCATTCCCAAGGTTAACAAACGCAAATCAATTCCCCATACACAATACCCCTTGTGTCAAATCATGCTAACTAAAATAACCCTTAGGGCAAACAGATAAAACTTCCTACCTTATATTTATCGGAATCCTTATTATAAATCCACTTTGAATTTATCACACATTATCCACTCTGTTTGTCTAACAAAATACTCACAAAACACGACACATTTTTATTTAATTTATCACTAAAATAACATGTATATATTAGAAAACGTAGCCATATTAATTCGGTTCTCGGAGCGTCCCACACAGAGCAATACCCGACGATCGACTGATTTGTTTTTCGTTCTGTTGTCGCAAATGTTTCAGATTGGTGTGAACATTGGGTTAATTGAAACTGAGCTGACATCAGGCGGGAATTTCGTAAAATTATTCAAAGTTTAAATTTTTACTGTAATTTTTAAAAAATAAACTTGTTTTGTGTAAATCATTTAGAAAGTTCAAAACATTTTTATTTAATTCTTAGCTCTTCATTTTTTATTCAATTTCTCATATTGCATTGTGCCATATGACCACGTTTGCTTCTCTTATTTTTTATATGGGATTTGATACATAAAAACTGATATAATGATAATTTTATTCATTAATTTTAATATAGAATTTCACATATCAGTAACAAATATATGTACATACATGCTTTCATTATTATTAAATAATAATTGCATTATTATTGTGGTGCTCTCTAACGTCCTAGTTTTGATTTGCTTTCTTCACAAGACCTGTCATTTTTTGTATAACCGGTAAATTTATACACAATACCACACTTATTTATATTTTTATAAATAATCTATCCATTATCCATTCATTTTTGAACATTTTAAGTTTTTTGTGCAATGGCTCAA